AGAGTTTCAGGGCCACATGTGACCAGCGGCCCTGATCTGTTATGTTGTGTTTTTACTAGTGGTCGACCGATACATCGCCAAGGCCTATGTATCTGCCAATATTTGGCATTTTTCAAATATCGGCATCGGCCAATACATTTTTCTGTTGTGTTGGAGGCGGGACTTTTATTTTGACGGCGCTGAAAACGGCAGCGCCTGCGCACACAGCGCTCACATTCGCTCTCTTTATTGTTTGCTGTCGCCGTTTAACAGTTCTGTCTAATACATAGACTGTAAAAAAAGATGGATGATGCATCTTCACTCTCTTCCACTGTAGAAAAGTGAAGCCGCCAGTGTCTCAATATGGAGCTGACATATTGCGCTGATTTGGGACCAGAGTCTGCACTGTAGTGAGCGAAGTGAATAACCAAACTTTAAAAAAAGAACAGTTGAACTTACATCAACATGATAAAAGCTACATAAAATAAATTCATTTGAAGGTTAATTTCATTGTTTATTTGTCTCACGTCCCATTAGATTACATGGAGAGGGTGGGGTTTATGACCAATACTGGATCCAGCCACCTGGGGGCCATCAAAACATTTTGGCTTCACTTTTCAGGACTTGTGCGGCACACTTGGTCTAATACGGATAGAAGTCTGTCTAATAATCAGATAAAACTGTTAAACAAAGGAATTAAAAGGTATACAATGATTGCCTTTATATTAGGGATGCACCGATACCACTTTTTCCAGTACTCGCCCGATACCGATACTTCTATTTTTGGTATTTGCCGATACCGAGTACCGATACCGATGTTTTTATTGCATTTGTCGAGTATGGGTCACCATACTTGGCCACAGGTCACGTCACTTTAATAGAAAGGCAAATATTATAATACTTTCTCGTTTGCCTTTAGCATTCAGCCAATACGCATTTCTATCATTTAAACAAATCTTTGAATGTGTAATAAACATTTAGTTTCACAAACCTTAGACTTAGTCAAATCCAGCTGTGAGATCTTGTTAAGTGTGCATGATTGTGTGTACTCTGCGTGACGGTCGGTCTGTGCGAATTGTATGCAGCCAGGAGAAGAGTTCAGCTTCACTGGAGATGCACAATCGACAAACTTTAAACTTGTGATTTCAAACTATGCTGCGCTTTATCCATTTACCCACTGTCATATTCATGTCATTTTCACTGTTTGCTGTATGTAAAATTCAGGCTTTATGTTTATATATATATATATGTGAAAAAGTGTTGGCCCCCTTCCTGATTTCTTATTTTTTTGCATGTTTGTCACACTTTAATGTTTCAGATCATCAAACACATTTAAATATTAGTCAAAGATAACACAAGTAAACACAAAAAATAAGAAATCAGGAAGGGGGCCAACACTTTTTCACACCACTGTATATATATACATACATCCACACACACGCACACATACGCACGCACACACAATATGTCGTACTGTACAGCCCTGTATATGAAAATAAATTAATATCTTTTTTCTGCCACTTTATTATCAGTTTTTCACATGCGCACATACAAACACACGCACGCACGCACGCACGCACACACACGCACACACATATATATATATATATATATATATATATATAATAGGCTTTCTAAGATATCGCCATCAGCTGTCAAAAAAACAATATCGGTCGACCACTAGTTTTTACTTTAGTTTTCTCATGCATTTTACATCCACTCCAGCTTCTTGATCTTTGTGTGCATGTGTGTGTCTGTTTTCTTCATTATGTCAATAATAATTTGGGTTTGTCTTTCTAGAAAACCAGAAATAGTGCTGAATTTTCAGTTCTATTCCATTTGCCCCTTTAACCTCCTGAGATAATAATCTGAAAGGAAACACATACTTTAGACATGTACTTATGCTTTGCTGATATTTTATGAGTTTCGGTTTTGAAATATCATCAATTTGTTTTATTTTTGTGCATGTCTCATTTTATTTTTGTGCACATCTCATTTTCACATTTCAAGTAAATTTAGGTAATAATTCTTTGTTGTTCTCTTCCTGGAGAGAGCTGCTACAAAACACAATCTATCAAATGTAGCCTATATCTTATATGAAGATTTCAAGAACTAGGATTCATCAAAGTGTTGTATGTGTTAAATGAGTGCAGTGTTAATTAAGCACAGCTCATATTTTCTTTATCGGTTTTATTACAGACACAGATTTATGTAAGTGCATATCAGTTCTTGTTTAATCGAGCTTATATATTCAAGCTGAAGTGTTTAATTTCTGTGCCAAGAGTGTCATAAAACAAAATTGCAAAAATAATATCTTCCATTGTTTGGTAGATAGTCTTGCTCCAAACTTATGCCATTGGTCGTGACGCTCAAACAATGTTTTGATACTGTCTGTTTTTTTTTGTTTTTTTTGATGAGAAAAACTTACTTTAGATAAGTTGTAGATTATAATTTATATTTATAATCAAGTATTATAACATCAAAAAAATTACGCACTTCATTTTTAAAGGAATAGTTTACCCAAATTTGCTGTTAATTTACTCGCCCTCAGGCCATACAAGATTTTTTTTAATGCAGTTAAACAGTGAAGATATTTAGCTGAAACCATGGTCCTTGGTGTTTCATAAAATGCAAGTACACGGCTGCCGTCACTTTGAGAGTCAAAAAAGCATATACAGGCAACACAAAATTAGTAGCCGTTAGTCCTTATGATATTGAGGTCTTATGAAGCAAAGTTATTTGTAGCCATTTAGGACTTTTTTGTTTGTTTGGTAAAATTTTGGTTGTTTGGGTTTGTGCAATACGATTGTGGATGGTGTATTTTTTTTTATTTATTTTTTTATAAGTGTATTTTTTATAAATGTATTTTATAAGTATTTTTTTAAGTGTTTGTGGATGGCACGGCTGCCGTCACTGAGAGTCAAAAAAGCATATACAGGCAACACAAAATTAGTAGCCGTTAGTCCTTATGATATTGAGGTCTTATGAAGCAAAGTTATTTGTAGCCATTTAGGACTTTTTTGTTTGTTTGGTAAAATTTTGGTTGTTTGGGTTTGTGCAATACGATTGTGGATGGTGTATTATTATTTTTTTTTTTTTATGTGTATTTTTTATAAATGTATTTTATAAGTATTTTTTTAAGTGTTTGTGGATGGCCCAGAAGTCTCACTTCACAATTTAGAGACAAATGTCTGAAGGTCTTTCCAGTTACCAAGGAAACTTCTTTACTTGGACCTCTGTGTCGTCAAAAGTGGCATTGACGGTAAACCGGAGCTTTTCTAAGATGAGTCTTCATAACTTTGAGAACACTTGAGTGAATCGATCCGAATTCAGCATAAATGAATAAGGCTCTGACTTTGCATGTGAGGAATCCTTGATCTTTGTCCGTTATATGTTTTTCTCTGAGCAGCTAGAAGTGTTTTCTTCCTTCCTTCAATTCTTTTTATTTTTGTCTCTTTCATTTCCTTCTCTTCTTGCTCAAGGTTCTGTATTGAATGAAATTGAAAGCAAAAGCCTGTGCAGGATGTGATTGTGGGTTTTTCTGGCGGTTCATGAGAGAATTCATGATTTGAACTGCAGAAATCAGTCGGCCATCCTGGTAATTCTACATATTTAGAAAATGAATAAACAGTACACACATTCTGTCTTTGTCTTTAAGTGTTTAAATGTTTGTAAGGAATAGAGACTGACAGAACTTCACTGTGTGTGCATTAAGAAATAAATGAAGTAATTGTTTGTTTAGTTGTGATAAACTGGCCGTCATGCAGGTGAATGCTTCTCATAAGGGAGAAATGTTGGGGAAATAGCATGAGGAAGTGCAGTCTACATGTTTTTTACAGAATTTACATGTATTTTACATGTGTTTTGATTCTGGATGGGTTGTGGTTTGCTCTCTCACCTGAAGAGTTTTTTTTTTTTTAAAGGGACTTAATGTTGTCTTATTTTTAGTCCTCTGTGTGCGTTTTTGCGCTTAAAACCTTGGCTAAAGTTTCTTTGCTTAAAACCTTGGCTAAAGTTTCTTTTGTTCTTTTTGTTAGCTGTTAGCAACAGTCAACCAATAATAACCTACCTCATTAAATATTAAAGAATTATGCAAAGTTATTTTGTATTTTCTTTCAGAACCATACTATACCATACCATCTTGAACCATAATAGCAAATGCACTAATTGTATGGACTGTAGAAAATTAATTTTGTTGTATATTTCAGACTCTTTAAGACCATTAAAAACAGATTTATTTGAAAAAACTTGCACAGCTGGATAAGAAAACAATATTTTGCAATGTTCCATAAAAAATAATAATTGTCAATTTATGTTTTAAGTGTACAGTCAATGTAAAATCTTCAAAACCTAATTAATTACTAACCTAGTGAAGGTAAGGTATAAACAATGCATAAATTATAAAAAGGTATTTTATTAGTGCTGTACAGTGAAATCTATGTTATGGAATTACATCTGAAGCTTGTGGGCAGAACAGATGCTCCAGCACATTCACAGAAAGAAAGTGTGTATGTGAGTGTATATAAGGAATCAAGCCTGTTTAAATGCCCCGGGAGCCGTTGATTATGTCATCTAGGCATAACACGCTTATATGATTTTGACACCACAGCAGCTGTGAGCCTTCAAGTACATGCCAGCACACATGCGCACACTCGTGCTGTGGCAGTTCTCACGATAATAAGCCAGAGGATCCAGCTGTAAGCATTCCTGAACCATGTTTATGTACACTACTCTGAAGGCTAAGGGATTGCAATTATTTTGCATACAACTAAATGGAGTTTAACAAATTAATGGAGTTAAACATGATGTTGAAGAAAAATTAAACCATTTAAAACAAATCCCACATGGCACCTCATGAAGTTTTGTGGTTACTGTAAAATTTTCATACTTCCATTTGCGTTGTTTCATATTTTTGATGACTATCATTCTTAATTATGGAAAGTAGTAAAGAATAAGTTGTTGTAACCAAACTAGTACTGGATATACATATATACAGAAATCTCTTTCTATTTTTCTTTCAGAATGGGCAGAGCACCACTGAGGATGGGGTCACTTCAGCTGTTAAGGTAGGACCCAGCTGACCACATATGCAAACACACTTCCAGATGTGCGGGACAGTTATCGGGACTGTTATCGAGAAAAACTTACATTCTCCAGCAATTCCAGCAAAGTCTAAAACATGCTGTTTTCAGATTTTACTCTTGTTTATCCATCAGTATCCATTTTTCTTTTTCTGCTGGTTTGCGCCAGTAGTTCTCCAACAAATGTGTGTTGAATAACTTTTTTAGCAACACGTTTTATTTAAAATCTATTCATGTTTGTCCTGAAACAATATATGATATTACGTGAAACATTATCGATTTGTTTATACCTTTCAACCCATGCTAACTGATGCTCTTTATCATAGCGAGATGCGCATTAAATATCGTGCGATATTTATCGTGCAGCCCTAATCATAGGCCATTCTCGCAATTTCTTGCAATCTCGGTCCCTTGGTAACTTCCCCTTGGTGACATATTTAAATCATTACAATAACAATGTTCAATAACAATGTTTAGTACATATCAGAAGAATGTTTGTAAGGTATAAAAATACATCAGAATTTCAAACAAAAGATGTAGTGTGACATTAAAGCATTAGCCGGATAGGACAAATGGACAGGTCAGCTGCCCCTATCTTTCTCACACTGGCCATGGGGCCATTCTTGATGTTGTGCCATGAATTTGAGTCATACTGCTGTTTTAGATTTGATTTGTGATCTCATGTTTGAGCCAATATTGTGAGTGTCGTATTTAAGAGACCTCAGAGCCGCTTCTGTCTCACTAGAGTGTCTGGGGTATATTGGCAGCTTTCTGAAACAATCAATGGAACAAGGGCTAAGAAGAATTCAGTCTAGAGTTCTGGCTCAGACTCTAAGGCATCTTTGTGTGTCTAAAGGAGTTGGATTACTCATAGCCTCTCTGTTTCAGAATTCATCTTGACTTTTTGCAGCCTGTCTATCTAACTGTGTGGGGAAAGCCTCTCTCTCCCTCATGAATCCCTGCATTTGTTGTGTTTTTATGTGTAATATGAGCCTGATGTGATGGACAGAGAGACAGCCTGTCTCCTTCTACAGCATGTGCTTTTCTTGTGTCTTTCTGAACAGTCAGCTCACTTCAGAACTGTGCTGCAGCTCAGTCAAGGTCCTGTAAAAGCTTTAGACCCTAGAGACTACGGCCGGATATTTTTGGGCCTTTAATTTAGTCTGTCCAAAGACAAAACTTAAGCAATAGTTTGAGTTTTTGTTATCAGGGAATGTTTTAATATTATGTAAATATTATGAATATTATGCATAGCATTTAATTAGTCAAGACTATAGCCAATCAGCAATCGACTAATTATTGATCATGTGAATAATCTGTATTTGGTTGAATATGACACTGTAGTACTTTAAGCGGTTGTATTTCCTGATGTTGGAACAAGGGCTAAGAAGAATTCAGTCTAGAGTTCTGGCTCAGACTCTAAGGCATCTTTGTGTGTCTAAAGGAGTTGGATTACTCATAGCCTCTCTGTTTCAGAATTCATCTTGACTTTTTGCAGCCTGTCTATCTAACTGTGTGGGGAAAGCCTCTCTCTCCCTCATGAATCCCTGCATTTGTTGTGTTTTTATGTGTAATATGAGCCTGATGTGATGGACAGAGAGACAGCCTGTCTCCTTCTACAGCATGTGCTTTTCTTGTGTCTTTCTGAACAGTCAGCTCACTTCAGAACTGTGCTGCAGCTCAGTCAAGGTCCTGTAAAAGCTTTAGACCCTAGAGACTACGGCCGGATATTTTTGGGCCTTTAATTTAGTCTGTCCAAAGACAAAACTTAAGCAATAGTTTGAGTTTTTGTTATCAGGGAATGTTTTAATATTATGTAAATATTATGAATATTATGCATAGCATTTAATTAGTCAAGACTATAGCCAATCAGCAATCGACTAATTCAATCGACAGTGAATATGACACTGTAGTACTTTAAGCGGTTGTATTTCCTGATGTTTCTTGACCTTAATTGCGTATAGGTAATTTATGTTTTTAGGATTATCATGACAAAGTTAGGATGTTGCAAAGCTCTATTTTACATCATGGTTTGACCATAACAAAAAAAAAAAAGAAAATTAATAAAATTATATTTAGCAAAAAATTAAAGCCTATTTTAAAATTTTAGACCATAGAACTTTTTTTTTTTTATTAATATATATATTTTGACATTTAACATGTTATTTTCGTATCATTTAAGTGCCCCTAAATTCTTATTATTGCAGTGTGTCCAACATTGCTTTTGAATTTTTTAGAATTCTTATTATTTTCAGTGGTGATTGCCATTAAATAAGATATAAATAACTTACCAATACTTAAATAAGAACCAATTAAAGACAACAGAACAAATATTACTATGATGTTTAAACACAGTACACAAGTAACTTTTTAACTAGGTGTTTGCCACACCTAGAGATGGTTGGTGAAAAAAATATTAGGATATTTGTTATTTGTCATTAAACTGTATTTTGAAATATTTAATTACAATTTTAATATTTAATTAAAATACACATACTTTGAGGTTTGTGTAGCAAATGAGGTCGTGGGTCAGATTATCATTTATTCATTTAGGTTTTTTAACAATAAAATGTTGCTATAAGATTTTCTTTCACAATTCCTAATTTCTATAAAACTTATCATTTGCAGTTGTTTTATTATTATTTTCACATTACAATAATGGAATGAGATTTATTGTTATTATTATTATTGTTGTAATGATAATTTGGGGGTATCTGTAAGTGTCAGGAAAATAATGTCACAGTTAATTCTTAAAGGTCCTAAAAGTAGGTTTAATGTGCAAAATATAATGCCTTAATGTCTTTCTTTTATTTAGGGTTGAAATTTGACCTGGACATTTTTTGTGAGAACTAATGCAGCATATAGCAGTAGATGTAGTGATAACAGGCTGAGCCCATGATTCATGAGTCCTTTACTGCCGGCCGATTCACCAGCTCACGATCTGTCACTGATCCCCTTGATACATGCTGATTGGTTGTTGTTGTTATTGTGGGAACACTTAACATAAATCACACAAGTTTTTATTTCATTTAACGTCAGCAGAGGGTCGTTGGTGAGGGTCTTTTAACTGGTGACGAACTGGGATATGATCTATGGTCGTCATAAATACAGCAGAGTCAGTCTATTTGAAAGGACAGGGACAATCCAGCTATTGGATCTGAGGCAAAACGCAAGCAAAAGCAGGCATATTATGTCATATTATGGCAGATTTACTGTGAACACTAACAGATTCCCTGTTCTCTAATTTTGATCGGAGACATGTGGATAAATGGATGGATGTCTGCCTGTTGAGGGCTTTGTCTTTAGTCTATTCATGCAGTTATTTTGAAGCATCCTGTCCTCTCTTATATGGGAACATCATGTCAAAGTGTAATAAAATGGTTGATGAGTGGGAACAAGTGTTGAAGGGGTGGATGGATGAGATCAATTATGAAAAAAGAACAGTTACAGCTAATGAGGTGAAGCCTGTCGCCCTTTATTTAACTCTCACTCAATGTTTTTTCTCCCCGGTGTGTTGATATTATTTGCCCTTGTAAAAGCTCAAGTGTATTTTTCAATGCTAAAATACTTTCCTCTCCCAGTTTAAAATGTCATGCAGATGTACAGCATGTCAACAATGAAAAGTATAAACACTTTTGCTCTGTATGAACATCCTGACTAGCCTGACACAGCAGCTATGGCTCAACCAATAGCGTGAGTTTGGGGCGAGACTATCTGTTTAATCATTGTAATGAATAATACATATTTTCAGATTGAGTTTAAGATGCTCATCTTGACACAGATCTAAAACCTATTTTACATGTCTTCAGCTGTAAGACCCAAGCTTCAGGATCGATATTGTGGATGAACGTTGCTAATAATACCTCTGTTCTCCTCCACCCTCCCCAGAGAGAGCAAGCAGAAATAAATAACTGCTTGTCAGGAATCTCTGTCAGCCTGGGTCTTTAGTTGAGCGGAGTCTAGCTTGACATGTCAGAGCCACAAGCGACAGTCTTGGGTGATAAGAACAGAGAATTTAGTGAGACCATATCATCTCTATTTCATGTAATTTTTCAACTTCTCACTTTCATCCCACTTCCTTGCTTCTTTAGCTTCTCATCAGCTCTTGCTTTCTCTGTCTTTAACCGTCCCTCTTTTTTTGTTTGTTTTTCTACAGTGTCAAAAATTAAAGATGCACTCAGTCATGTTTTTAATGTTATCCTGACCGATATGGCTGTCGTCTTGGACATTTAAAAACGTTTTCATAACTATTACTATATACTATTCCATTATATACTTTTCCGTTCCTTATATTAAAAACTTTTTTTAATGAGGGAAACATTACTTGAGTGGACCTGTAACTTTGCTGTCTGGAATTCATTTGTGGCATCATTTGCTCTCTGGGATTGTTTTGCAGAGGATTTTTTTTAACAATATAAAAACTGAATGAAAGAAATTTCATTCAGTAAAATAATGGCTGTTATCTATAAATTCAAAATAACATCAAATACAAAAGTAGTTTATATATACCGGTAATACACAAGATAAAGTAAAATCATAAAAGCTTTGCTGGAAGAATAATATTCTAATCCCTGTGATATGCAGCTCAATAATGTTAACTCTTAAGATGTATATATATATATATATATATTAGGCCTATTACGGTAAATGTAAACCCGGAGGTATTTTTATTAATTTTTTTATTTAAAAAAAAAGGAAAACAGGTTTTATAGTAGGCGAAATGTATCTTGATTTAAGGATGTTAAAATATTTGTGGTATACAAGAAGAACAAAAAATTATTGTTTTGTGTGAAAATATAGCCAAAGTAACACAGAAATTCAAAAACAATGGACTTGTGAAAAGGCCCCTGAAATAATCAGGTCTTCACTTAAAGCTTTCATTTAATAATGAGTTTTTGCTAGAAAAAGAGCCGGCAAAAGCTGTGAAAAGAGTGACACTTTATCTCACAGAGTAAGATGCAGCCTGCAGAAGTGACATGCATGGT